TACCCAAGCACTCCGAGTTTGTTGGCGATGTCCATTTTGCCGTATGAGTTCATGGTGACCTAACCCTAACCCTAAGTGGAATTTTCCTCCAATGGGATTTTCCCATGAATTTTACCAGGAAACATAGATAGGGCAGGCTAGAAAAGTCAGTGCCCTCCTAACCATACCCAAGCACTCCGAGTTTGTTGGCGATGTCCATCTTTCTCTCTGAGTTCATGGTGACCTAACCCTAACCCTAGGGCCTCAGCTGCCCCTCTCCCAGTCTTTTTGCCCTGGGGGTGCCGGCCCAGGAAGCTAAACTGAGAGGCAGAAGGGGGGGTCTTTTTGCCCACCTGTGGTTCCTTCTCTGTTTAGCTCAGTAAATATCTCTTAAAGGATGATCCAACAAGGCACAGGTTGTCTGGTCCCTCCTAAGTGTTGTGTCACAAATCCATAGATGCTTTTATAAATGCATATTTGAGAAGAAATATGTTCACACATCCTCCTTTAAATGGAAGTGATGGAGCTGTGAACTTCTGTGAACATGACACAGCATAAGAAACTGGCAACTTGATGGATAAATGACTCATTTTCTCCACTTATGAGACTTGAGTATTTGGTCCCCCAGATAAAGCCGTATGAGGAAATACCGTTTTTTTAACCAAGGTTTCCAGTGCTGAGATCAACCATTCAAGCAGCTCCAAGTCCCTGACTTCTTGGTGAGACAGTTGAGAATGAGGACCCGGGCTGAACTGGGTAGAATCGCAACTGTGCCTTTTGTCAGATAGAGCTCACACATTGAGTCTTTGAGAAATTCAATCAATGAACCTGTGTCTTTTTGATAGCAAGAGCTTTTTCCCCACGTGAGTGGGGGAGAATTAGCATGCAGCTTGCCAGTGCAGCCTGTCTCAGCAGAAGGCAGAAATGGAGATTAATTATCGAAAGTGAGGCCTGTGAAAGCAATATTGTCTTGAAACCTTGAGGGAGAAGCTTTATCAATGATGCTTTATGGGCTGCCAAAGGGGAAAGCAAGTGATCCTTCATGAGACCGTTTGTTAATCTTGGAAAGAGTTCTAGCGATATATTGGGAATTCTAGACTTGTTGAGATAAAGGTACTCAGGGTATAAGAGTATCAGTTCTTGGCCAGTTGCTTTTTAGATTCCAGAACATTCTTTTCTTATCTTTTTCTTTCTTGGCCCAAACTGGGCTTGGGGTTAACTTTTCACTGGCAGATGATAATAGATAATAATTCTTCAAACATCAAATTAATCTGCAGACTGTATCATCTTCATTTTATAGCAATCGTGCTTTCTGGATAGTCTAATGCAGTGTTTCTCAATCTTGGCCACTTTCAGATGTAGGGACTTCATCTCCCAGCATTCCCCAGCCAGCTTCTTCATGTTGGCTGGGGAATTCTGGGAGTTGANCCAAGCACTCCGAGTTTGTTGGCGATGTCCATTTTCCTCTCCGAGTTCATGGTGACCTAACCCTAACCCTAAGTGGAATTTTCCTCCAATGGGATTTTCCCATGTATTTTACCAGGAAACATAGATAGGGCAGGCTAGAAAAGTCAGTGCCTTCCTAACCATACCCAAGCACTCCGAGTTTGTTGGCGATGTCCATTTTCCTCTCCGAGTTCATGGTGACCTAACCCTAACCCTAAGTGGAATTTTCCTCCAATGGGATTTTCCCATGTATTTTACCAGGAAACATAGATAGGGCAGGCTAGAAAAGTCAGTGCCTTCCTAACCATACCCAAGCACTCCGGGTTTGTTGGCGATGTCCATTTTGCCGTATGAGTTCATGGTGACCTAACCCTAACCCTAAGTGGAATTTTCCTCCAATGGGATTTTCCCATGAATTTTACCAGGAAACATAGATAGGGCAGGCTAGAAAAGTCAGTGCCCTCCTAACCATACCCAGGGGTGTCACAGCCATCACCTTAGAAGGGGAGGAAGAGGCCGCAGGCACCTCTCGCGAAGCGTGACACCGCCCTCCTCCCCCGGGTTAGCTTGGTCTGCACACTGACGGTGGTGTCTAAATTTGTATGGGGGGAAAGGAGTACTCTGAAGCGTATCCAAGCACGTGGGCTGCGGTGCCTCTCCTCCCCGCCGGGTAATCCTGAATTCCAGACCCAGAAGAATAGGTTAGCCTCCCCGAAGGGCTCCCTGCCTGCCTGGGACCATCTATCCGCTTTTCCCAGAATAGCGAGCTCTCTTCTCCTAAATCTGGGGGGGGGGGGACCAGGTTTGAAAGGAACTCGGGACCAGTTGAGGGGAGAGAGGCCAGAGCGGATGACCGAGCAGCGGCGGGCCAGAGCCAGAGGAGCCCGGCAGAGGGCGATCGCAGATGGGTCTGGTCGGCGTACGCCGAACCTCCCCCCCCCCGCCCCGGACCCCCGAGCTCCACGTTGGCGAGCGGTCGAACTGGGAAAGCCGCCTCCCGCGCGCCGTAAGCCCGGGAAGACCCTCGGCCGCGCTGCACCCGAGCTGGCCAATAAAGATTTCGCTGCCGTCCGCCAACAGGCGCCCCGGAGAGCTGCCCGGCCGGGACCCGCGGGAGCAGGCGGAGCGCGCGCCTCTTCCCCCCCCCCCGCAAGTCCAGCGCCCGCCCCCCGCTGTTGTGGAGGCGCCGCCCTCGAGACGGACCTGGTATCGGCTGAAGGCGCCCGGGAGGGGGGGGGACGGAGCAGCGCTCACCAATCCGGGTCGGCGCCGAAGGAAGGGGCGGGCCGGGAGGCGAAGGGAGGCAACGAGGGGGGCTGCTGGCCGAACAGTCCGGTGCGCAAAGCGAAGCTGAGCGCAACGGGTGCGGCGTGATATCGACCGATCCAGCAACTAGCCGAGCCCGCGGGGCAGACGCGGAGACCTTGGAGAGACCTCCCGGCCAGCAGGACAGAGACCGACACAGCCGCCTCGGGGCTTACTGCCTGTCCCCGACCGCCGGCGAAGGGAGCCAGTCATCAGCCGTCCGAGCCACCTCTCCGCGCCGCGAGCTTCGGCCTTCTGGCCGGGACCGGAATGTCGAGCTCCCCCCTGAAGGAGCGCCGCTCGCCGGTGGGGCTGGACTGCTGCAGCTGCTGCCTGGATCTGGCCAACGGCCCCCTCGGCTACAACAGCAACTTCACCCCCCTCCTCCAGCTGCGCGAGCAGTTGGCGTGCGAGAGCCTCGGTGCCGCGCCCGAGCTGAGGCGCCTCATGCGGCAGGACTCCCTGGAACCGGTGGTGCGCGACCCCCGCTATCTCCTCAGCCGCGGGATCTGCAACCGGAACATCGACCAGACGCTGCTCTCGATCCTGCTCTTCTTCCACAGGTGGGTCAGGGCTGCGGGACGGCTGCCGGTGAGGGAATTCCCGGTGAAGCGGCGAGGGGGGGCTGTTTGCCTGGGGAGGGCGAACCGACCGCAAATGGGCTGGGGTGGGGAGAGCCGTGCAGGTCTCTGCGGGCACAGACGACAAGGTCCTTTCTGAAGGCTTCCTGGCTGCGACCGGGCAGCAGTTCCTGGGACCCTTCCCCGTTCAAGACGTCTCCCTGCTGCATTTGCCCTGAAAATGCAGCAGAGCCCTCCTGGGTGGGGAGCAGGGCCTAGGGGCCGGCATTCGCCGGGCTCCAGGCCTACCATCCGTGGGCAGCCACAGGCGCTAAGAAGAGACTTGTCTCCCATCTCTGCTGGCTTGTGAGGAAGAAACTGCCTGATGACCCCAGGGGCTACCTTGCCCCCCCAACGGCAGCCTAAGTGACCATATAAGCTGCCGCTGCTGGAACCTGGCAGGTGTCCGAGAGGACTTTGCCCTGGGAGTGCCTGTGGGACGGTTGTGGCTGACCAAAGACAGCCCCAGCCTGAGCGTCATTTCATAGGAGTGGGCGTAGCTTCTTTCCCAGGAAAAGGGATTTCTGTAGGTACTGTGTTGGTCGAGTGCTGCAAGGGAGGCAGGTCTCCTGGTGACAGGGTGTGCCTGGCAGGCTGGGCGTGCCTGTCTTCCTCTGGTCTTGGAAGAGGTTCCAGTTTGGGTACTGCCTGAAGGAAATGCTGGCCAGGAAGGGCTTGCTCTGGGGTCAAGGAAATGGCAAGGAACAGAGTCCAGTTGGGCTGCCCCTCTGCCTCAAGCACCCCCATCAACTGGGAGTCATCCTGCCTCAGCCCCCAGGGCAGCTGAGACTTAGCAGGTGCTTCCTCTGAGAGCTGCTGCATTGCCCCCCTCCATTGGTGGAATGGGCCGGCCAGGGATTGTGCTGGCAGGCGGGCACAGGGAGTGTGAGAGCCTGGCATGATTGAACTCCTGGGATGAGCATGTCAGTCAGCAGTTGTGCTTGTTTGAGCACCCCGCTCACATCAGCTGATCTGGTGATTGCTGGCTCCCCTGGTCCCTCTGAGACCTGCTTCGCCTGAGAAGCACCCTGGCAACTTTTCCTCCCAAATGTGCAACCTAAGAGGTTGGGATCTGGGGAGGCAAAGGACTCCATCCTCTTTTGCGCTTTCTAGCTGGGCAAGGGAGAAGGTCCATACTACGAGAACATGAAGGGGAAAGGGCTGCCAATTCTGAAGGGACCCAGCTCTCCTCGGATCCTCAGGCTAGAAGTGTGGCTCCTGGTTTCATTGATTGTATCATCAAGCTTGGCTGCATTTAGTCTCTGCTCAGGCTTCTGGGCCAAGTTTCCTTAAGCAGTGCCCAGAGCCTCGCCCTGCACCAAGCAGTGCTTAAGGAAACTTGGCCAGAGCAGATGGTTGAGTTTCAGAGGCTCTGCTGGTTTGATGGCAACCCCTGACTGAGCTCCCTCGGGTACCGCTGAGGACCACAACTACTAGGCCAGTCACATTAGCAGCTTCAAGCTTTCAAGAAATGTTACTGGGGCTGAACTTGATCAAAGGGCACCCACTTGGAGGTGGCCAGAGGCTTTGCAGTCAGAAGTGTGTGCAGGAAGAGCCAAACTCCAGGGTGGAAGTTCTGTGGCTGATGGTTGCGATGGAGTTGAAAGGGACAGTCACCTGCTAGCTTCAGAGGGAGTGATATGTTGGGAGCATCGAGTTTTCCTACCCTGTTTTATTGGTCAGGCACTGTGGGGATGGCAGATGGGCAGATGTGAGACAGGCTGATGGGATGCAGGTGTTAGCACAACAGGCAGGACAACTTTTGGGGAAGGTAAGCATGGCCTTAACTGGTCCCTGGCTCAAGGCAATTGGACTTCTACATGGGGAGATGCATGATGGTGACAGGCATCTGCATTGCTTCTTCTGCTGGGCACCCAACCAGAAGACACATCTCCCGGGTTCCCTCCCCATGCTGCTTTCTTGACTGGACTGGGGTGGGAAGGGCAATGAGCACCACTCCCAGCCCTACCCAGCCCATTATTTCAAGGACTCAGGGCTCTGCAGGATCCCCTCAGCTGAATGAAGAACACTTTACCGTGGCACCTATAAACAGCTGGCAGATTTAACTGCTCAGGAACAATTAATGCGCATGGGATGAATGGGATCAGCGGTGCCAGACAAGGAACCGCTCAGCTGGTGAGCCATTAAGGTCTTCATTCAGAAGCTGATTCATTATTTGGTGTCAGAAAAGCCTATCTTGTTTCGTCACCCATTCATCCCTGCAGACCCTGAGAAGGGGACTCATCAAAACAGGAATGCTGATTCCACATGGAGCCCAAAGACCCCCACGTGAATTTCAGGGGGTGGCAAAAACAGCAAGAGCTTCATGCCTTGGCCTAGGATTTGGGGAGGAGAGTGAAGTCAGCCAACAGATAGCACAGAAAAGTAGTTTCCACAAATCTTGGCTTGTTGTTAGAGGCAAGGGAGGGCATTATCCTCAAACCCTTTTCCTGGGCTTGGCGCATGTTCCCAACAACAGTGACCCTAAACTCACAATGCCGCTGCTCTGTCCTCCAGGGAAGCTGGCAACCACCAGGCCTGCCAGCTGCCTGGGTGGGGGGCATTTCTCTTTGCTCCCCAGGAGCACCCCCTAATCACTCCTTATTTTCCAGCCAGTTTAGTGAGCCAGCAGGCAGAGTGAGCAGGGGAGGCAGCTGCTAAGGGAGTCTTCCCCCCACCACAAATCCTGCATTGTGACATGATCCAGAATGAGAAGTTTATCAAAACGTGGGGCACTCTTCTGCATAAGCCAGTTATAGGCCCCAAAGGGTGGCTGAAAGTCAGGGAATGCTGATCCAATTCAGAGATGTGGATTGATATTCACATCATATACTAAGCCAGAATATCTTTTCTGATTGGCAAGTTATGATTTGTGGCTTAGTGTGCATTGCAAGAGTCATCAATATGCAGTTCTGTATGTGAATATAGACAACAGTGAGGCTGCTGGAGCAGAGAAGCACAGCCCCCCTCTCTTCTGGGGCCTCTTTCCTCCCCAGCCTTTATCTTTTCCCTTCAAGAATTTGCATGAAGGGGCTGCTGGCCTTCTCCAGGGATGCCCCCCCCCCTCAAGCTGCACAGATCTTCCAGGCAGAAGGAAGGAGACTACCTGGCAGCTACAGAAACCCACCGGCCAAAATATGCTGGTGCTGACATATCCACGTGTATTTAAGTGGTACCAATGAAAACAGGCTGGAAAAGATGTGTTTCTATGACTCTGCATGTGCAGGTTCCCATGCAGACAACAACACCTGGGAAGACTCAGTTTTCAGTGCCCCAATTTGAAAACAAACCTTTAAGATTATAACTTTGCTGACAATCCAGTGCAGCTCAGTCAATAGGTCCTGTTCAGCGGTTTAGCAATGGGGGACGTTAAAAGCTTCCTGGGCAGCATATGTGCTCCCTCTGTGTCCCCATGTAGCCCTTTGAGCTCTTCTCACCCTTTCAAAGAGTCTCATTTTCAATCCTTGGAAGGAACAGCTGCCTCCCTGAAACAGGGACTCCTCCGTCCCTCCCACTGAGGGAATGGTTTCCTTTTAGGGAACCTGGTTGCAGACCCCTTGACAAGGCCAGCCAAAGATGCTGGGACTTGCTGCCCCCTTTACAGCCTGAACACTGTGGGGATGGAAGGGAATTCCTTCTGGTTCCCAGGCTGTGGAGTGAGCGAGCACAAGGCAGCCATGTGCTGCATGTCCCGCCCAGGCCATGTGCTGGCGTGCCAGTAAACTCAGAACTGGGAGTCCTGCCAAGGCCTCCATCAACGGGAGAGGCCTCCAAGCAGCTGGAAACGGAGCCCGCCAGCAAGTGGTTCACTCTCCAGCCGCAGGGAGTCCTTGCCCCAAGACAAGCAGAGGAAGAGAGCCGCTGCTTCTCCAGGAAAGCCACCTCACCCTCCGGAGCTGCGGTCTCCTCCTGCCACTGCCTGAATCCCCAGCAACATTCCCCTTTACTACCAGAGGGCACCAATGAGAGATGCCAACCACGGGGTTTCTGCCCTGAAGAGAACTCTGTGCACATCGCCAAGCACAGGCCTTGGTTTGTTAACCTGCCACCACAAGCCCTTTTGGTGCCTGCAGGGAAGACCAACCTTCGGGGAGCAGCACTGCTGGAAAAGGGAGCTGGGAAAGACACAATTGTCCCAATCTCAGGAGGAGACTCCCGAGCCCCTCTGCAGGGCAAGGCCTCTTTCGCAGCGCCAAGGAAAAGAGCCAGCTGTGCCTGCTGCCATGCCTCCCCCCCCCCCAGATCCTTGGCAAGAGTGGCTTGCCGAGCGGGCTCCCTTCCCTTTTCTTGATGCCCACTCCTGCTCCCCGGGCTAGAGGGAGGCCGTGAGCGGGAGGACAGCTTTTGGAGACTCACAGAGCCAGGAGGAGCCCTCTCTTGCTATGGGGAGAGGCGGGAGGGCGCGCGCAAGGAGCGGCCACCAGAGGTCCCCCTCACCCGGTCAGAGAGCCGCTGCCTGGCTCACCTCTGGCCTCACCAAGTCGCAATAACAACATGTTTGGGTGGCTTCTTACGTAACTGCCAACCTCGACCTAGTTCCGCGCTGCGCTTGGGCAATACTTTACATTTCTGACTCGGCCTCCACTTTTGCAACGCCTTCATTAGTAGCCAAGGCAGATTAAAGGGTGGCGGTGGTTGGCAGGGTGTTGCAAGGGGTCGAACGTGTGAATCCGGGGGATGAGGAGGTGGCAAGTTGCCCTGCGGATAAGCGGGACTTCTCTTTGCAGGAGAGGATGAAAGCGGCGTTGTCCCGTATGTCTCCTGCAGCCCGGAACTTGCATCCGAGTCCACGGCGGGAAGGGGGGGTCGGATGGAGCTATCCGGAGCCCCCGTCCTTCGAAGGCGGCTGTCCGCTTTCACGACCGGCGTCCTAGACAAAGGACCAGCGGGTCCCGGTCTGGAGCCGCAGAAATGGGAAAAGTGGCGCGCTGCTTCCGCTGACGTCGCGGGGGGGGCCAGCGCCAGCAGCGTCTCCGACTGGCGCCCTTCGGATGCTTTGGCCCACAATTTGCAGCCGCCCCCCTGCGCCTTCGGCCCCGGGACTGCAGCTTCCTCGCGGTTGTTACAGCTGGAAAGAGCTGCGCGTCTCGCCTGGGGCTCGCGAATTCGGGGCGCGGCTCGACCGGCTCGATTGCGCGGAACCGTCCGGGCTCAGCTATGCGCGGTCCCGGCAGGAGGGGCGTGGCCTAATTTGCATAGCACGCTGAGACCATGTGACGTCTCGAGAGCCTTCCTATATAAGGCGGGCGAACGCCGAAATAGCTGCAACTCTTTCCGGCCGTCATTTTGTGTTCCCTTCTCTCGGGCTCTCCGTGCGCTCCCCCCGACCATGAGTACTGGCGTGTACCCGTTCCCGATGGAGGTGGCTGTCTACCAGCTGCACAACTTCTCCATCTCCTTCTTCTCCTCCTTGTTGGGCGGGGACGTGGTCTCGGTCAAGCTAGACAACAGGTAGAAGCGGCGTCAGGCTGGGGAGAGGGTTAGCCGGGCGGGCCTGCCTGTCTCGCGTGCTTACGACGACGCCGTTCTCTTGTTTCTTGCAGCGCGTCCGGGGCCAGCGTGGTCGCCATCGACAACAAGATCGAGCAAGCCATGGTGAGTGTCTCGGTGGGAGGTGAGGACGCGCGCTGGCCCGCCGCAAACGGGTTGCGCTGCGGCTCCGCGCTACTTGCTGGCGGAGAGGAGGCGAGGGAACGCCACGCTCCCTTCGCTCTGGCCCGAAAAGAAACGGCCGGTGTATTCCGGCGCAGGGCTCAGATCGGGGGCTGCAGTTCCGCAGGGAGAGTTCAACGGAGCAGATGCAGAGAACGGGGGCCTTGCTGCTCCAGCCTTTTAGCGGCGAATTTTCGGGGGCCTGCAGGCTGCGGGTTAATTTTGGACCTAGCGGGAGAAGGCGGGCCTCCCCTCTTCCTGGAGGGCGGCAGAATCTCGCCGCTGAGCTGCGGCTCTCGCGGGCGCGCGCGCAAAAATCCAGTCTCGGTGCTTTCGGGACACGAGCCGCGAAAGCTGCCGGCCGCCCTGACCTTTGTCTAGCCGCGGAACTCGTTTAGAAGCCACAGTTCTGTTTACTCACCGGGACTTTGCTCCTCCTCTTTCCAGGATCTGGTCAAGAACCACCTGATGTACGCAGTGCGGGAGGAGGTGGAGGTACTCAAGGAGCAAATCAAGGAGCTGGCTGAGAAGAACTGCCGCCTGGAGCGCGAGAACAGCTTGCTGAAGAACCTGGCCAGCCCTGAACAGCTGCAGAAATTCCGCTCCCACCTGCTCCTGGAGGCCCCCGTGGCCGAGAAGAAGAGCCAAGGGGCAGCTGCCCCAGCCCAACACAGGGCGGGCTCTGCGGTGTAAGGTGGCTCTGTCCATGGGGTGGGCAGAGCCACAGAACTGCTTCAACTTGATCTCCAAGCTAACGTGGTTTACTCACATCTCCTGTGGAGGATTCCATAGAGGGCCTGACGGAGGCCCTTCGCCTGTGACCCCTTCCTTGGGTCTGGCCACAGACTCTCCTGAGAAAAGGAGCAAGGCTGCATTGGAGTTGCTATGGGCACACGGCTGCTGCACCTGAAGGAGACCGGGTTTGCCTTTCCACGAGCACCCTGGAGAAGGGGCTGTGCTGAAGGGGGGGGGGGCAAAGACTGTTGGTTTAGAAGAATCTGGTTGGAGGTTTTCTTCAATCAGCTCAGAGAAAAGGCAGCCCCCACCACTCCTGGGATAGGAACAGGAGCAGCTGGTCAGCTGGCAAGACTTTCCCCCCCCCCTGCCCCTCACTAGCTCTCTCGCTCCACAATCCAGACCTCTGTGCCTGGCACCTGCCTGTTGCAGACTTGGGCATGTGGGGAGCTGCCAAGATGCGGACTAGAATGAGGACTGCAAGCCAGAGGGGGGGGGGGCTCCTCATGCTGTGATTTGTCTACTGACAACAGCCTTGGGGGGGGGGCTCGGTTCATAGCCTTTATCGATGTTCCCTGGAGCCCCTGAATCTCTTGATGGGGTCCAAAGAGGATCGCCAGGGGAGCTGGAGGAGGTGGCTGAGGGACTCACACACCCCCTGGGGGGGAGGGAATCTTGCTTCTGTAGTGCATTCTGAAGATGGGTGCATAGTGAGATATTGCAATAAAGTTTGTCATACACATCTGTCTAATCAGTCTTCTTTCCCAAGGGGAGGGGGTTATGCAGAATGTATAGTGGACACTGGCAGTGGGACCAAGCAATGGAGGGCTGTGGATTGGAGCAATAGAAGCATCCATTGGGTAATTTCTCCATCTCCCCCCCCCCAAGCTTTGACTGGCTCCAGTGACTAGAAGAATCTCCAAGGACCGACTACCTGATTAGGCTGCAGCTTCCCCATTATCCATTTGAAAACCTTTGGGGGGGGGGGTGCATGTACACTGGCACACATCTTGATGGCTGGTGCAGAGCAGCCACCTTTCAGCATTAATACACAGACCTTTCAGCATTAATACAAACAGCTATATTCATGGAAATAGCCATGATTGATTTGATTGTAGTTTGTTCAACTGAATTTTGGAGGCTTGTGCAGTGAAATCCTAAATTATCCACTGGGCTGACTATGCGCCACTACAAAGCTGCTGCAACCACCTGCCATTTTGGATTTTGTGAAGTGGGACCTTGACAGCGGGAATGAGTATTGCCCCAAGATGAGCTGCCCTGCGACCCCACCAACCTCTGCAAAAGCAGAGATGAAGGGACTCCCCAGGACAATCAAAGATGCCCCTGATCCTGGTCTTGCAGCTCCGTTGAAGGGTAATTGAACTGCGGGGCAGAGGCCAGTGTCCTGCAAGCTGGGTTGGGATGCTTACATGCATCCCCCCCAGCATGGCTGGTAATCACTGTGAGCCCACTGGAGAGATGGGTTCAAGCGAGAGGGGGGCAGGGGGCCTAATGAACAGTTTCAAACCCTCCTTCCCTCTTCCAACAGCTCAGCGAGATTTTTCTTCCCGCCGGATTGCACACCTTCAAGCTCGCCGCTTCGTAATTTGCAAAGCTCTGGTCATCCCAACATTTGGTTTTAATGGGGAAGATCTGAAGGGCGCTTCCCTCGGCGCCCGGAGCACGTTCTGCTTGGCAAGAGGTGCTCCAGACTCGGCGCCCAGTGAAGAGATTGAACGGCTTGTTCGACTACACGAGGAGCAAGATCCGCAGCTTTGTGCGGGATAAGGCAGCCCCTGCGCTGCTCGGAACGGCTAAATTGGGACGCTAAGTTGGGGCAACGGTGCCTTTTGAAGAGGGGCGTGTCGATGCCTCATCAAAGATGCTGCTTTTCGCTATAAAAAGTGGCCCGGGAAACGAGCTGGGAGATCCAGAGGCTGATCGCCTCCACCTCTGGGAACTAGCGGCCTGCTCTGATTCCCACCCGGTCCAGAGGGTTCTCGTTGCCTATAAAGGTCTTTGCTTCCGTTCTTCGATGCTTCACCCCCACGCATCTGCTGGGCCCTCAGGCTGGGCTGTTCCAGGGCGCGCCGCCTGTTTGTTTATCGGCTCCATGGAGCCAAGCGGGGCCGCACCCTCCGCAGAGCCGGGGAGCCGGGCGTGTTTTGCAAACGAAAGGAAAGTCACCGCAGCAACGGGCTGCTGCCGAGAGGTTGCCTGGGCCAATGGGGACCCCCGTGGAACGCACGTGATCTGACGTTACCGCACAGCTTCCTGGTGGGGGGGGCTGAGCTGCCCTGCCGGGCTTGTTGTCCCGCGCCTCCTCTCGAGCTATGCCGGCGGCTTCTGTCCGGGGCGTTTGGGCCATGCGGGGGGGGGGGAGGTTGGGAGGAGGCGTCCTGTTGCTGGGGCCGGACAAAGGCATCCGAGCAAGAGAAGCTCGCTCCCCTCAAGCACGGAGGGAACGGGCTTGTTCTGACGGTTGCAGCTTCTTCCGGCTGCTGGGGAATTTTGGGAAATGTGATCCCAGCCCCACCCTGTCGCATCGCTTGGGGAAAGCGCAGCTGGGGCTTGCTTAGGATTGCTCGGAATGGCCCCGTTTGGAAGCTCAGCAAAAGAAGGTGCTTATCGAGGCCGAAGGGGCTCCGTCCCCTTCTCTTTTGCTGCCGTACCCAAAGCCCTTTACGCAGCTGCGGAAGGAAGTGAAACACCCGCCCACCTCCAACAGGACAATGTGCACTGCACAGTTCAGAGAAACCGGTGAGCTTTTGCCAGAAGTGGTCAATGAACTGATTCTTTCACCTGCGACTGCAGGACAGAAACAGCCTGGTTGTTTCCAGAGCCCCCTGGACCCCAATGGGGAGGCCTGCACTTTTCTGGGGTGATGTGATCCAAGCAATTCTTGGGACTATCGTCATTTTAAAATCCATTCCACTGCATAACAATGGTTAAGAATGAAGAGACAAAACTTTACATACACAATCATCCCTGCTATTAACCTAGTGGAGAAGAACCAGATTCAGCAGGAAGAGGTAGCTAGTATCAATATCCATTTAACCTTGTCCCTCTCCCCCCCCCCTCTCCCAAGACTCAGGTTAGAAATCCTGAAAGTCTGAGCTTCATTTGCTGATGCCTCTAGTCCCCAAAGCTGGCCATGGAGAGGGGACCCTGGGATCCGGTTTAGTGGGGCTGGCTGAGAGAAAGGCCAGCTTGAGCAGCTTCTGGGGGCAGGGAGGTTCTCTGCAGGCTTCTGGGGAACAGGTTGCTCTTCCCAGCGACCCAGGTGCCAGCCAGAGAACTCTCCCAGGCCCCTGGATTTCCCCTGGCGTCCAGCCAAAGGCTTTGGGCTCTTGGCCGTTTTTGGGGCGAGGAATGTTCTTCCTCCCTCAAGCAGGCAGCCTCCCTGGGAGCTTTTCCCTTGCCTATGCTGTGCAGAAAAGAGTTGCTGGACTCTGGGGAAGCAAATGCCTCTTGGCTGCGTGTCCCTGGTCACCCAGTCGGAGACTCCTGCAGGGCAAGGCATGGGAAATCTGTGTCATGCATTCCTCAGTTCCACCCACCTACTCCTGCCCCTCCCCAGATGAGAGAAACCAGTGGGGTACATAATGGCCAGTGAGGACAAGGTGGTGGGACAGAGGCCTTGAGGAGGCAGCAGCTGCCGAACAGGGATGGGGAGGGCTTGCTGGGAGCAAGGTGGCCATTTGAAGCAAAGCCCAAGTTGCCCCTTCCCCAGCTGGAGGAAGGGAGCATTCAGAAATGTGTGGGCTTGGACAGCCCAGGAATTTGTACATGGGGAAGGAAGTGGACCACAGAGCGAGTGCCTCGGCCCACATAAATTCCCAGGATCAGAACCGGACCAACCCTCGGCTGGCATCTCCCTTGATCTCCATCTACATTATTTATGACATGGCAGACACGCCATTGGGTGATCCCCCAGCCACCGACCTCTTGCACCTCCAAATCAATTTAGGGAATCAACAACCACTGCTGGCCCTGGACCCTGGCAGAACTGGCTATCTTTCCCCAATAAGAGGGTTTGGTTGGCCGTCTCACCCGTTTGCTGCAAATCACTGGGCCGGAATACTGCTTGGACCTTGGCCTGGTCCCTGCCAGGTGCCTCTCAACCATCTGATTATAATGCGCTCCATCACTGGAGGTTTTTAAGAAGTGACTGGATGGCCATTTGTCCAGAGTGGTATCGGGTCTCCTACTAGAGCAGAGGGTTGGACTAGAAGACCTCCAAAGTCTCTTCCAACTCTGTGACTGTTTTATCTGGAGTGCCTTTTAAATACCCCGGTTTGCATGTGCTCTAGAGGGCCCTTTGACCGAATGCCCTGCAGAATGAGGCTGCCATTTTGAGTGTCTGCTAGCACCCATCCCTTGGCTGATCTGCTGACTCTGGAAAATGGGCACCGTTGCAGAGGGCCCCACCGGGTTCAAAAGTCTGACGAAGGAGGCGGTTCAGTTGCCTTGATGCAGCCCTGACTGGCCTCACAGCTGAGCTCCTCCTCTGTACCCAGCACTAAGCCCTGGTTTTCCTCTGGTGCTCCAAGCCCCCTTTCAAAGCAGCCCTGCCCCCTCCTCCAACTATCTGGCTCATTCTCATTTCCCCAACCAAGTCCTGGGAGGGTGCACGGTGGAACTGCCATCGTATAACCCAGACTGCAATTAGCTGCGAGTCAGATATTAGAAAGCTGGCTTAAAGTGGAGACTTCCAAGGAAGCCATGCCTGTTAAGGACAGAACTGCCCAATGAGCCATTTCCAGGCCATCCCTTGCCCTGGCCTCCGCCGGACATTCACAGAAGGATGGTTCACTTGCCCAAGTGAGTGGGGCTGTAATCTGAATGGGGGAGAGGCCCTCTCCTTCCACGGGACTCCAGCACAAAGAAAAAAGCCTGCCGAGCAATCCCGTCACAGCAACCTCTTGTCACAGCAACCTCGTGAGGTAGGCAAGGCTGGGAGCCACAGCAGCCCAGTAGACCGAACCTGGGGCTCTGGACTACTGACTGCTGCTGACATCCCAAAAAGGGGGAGTCCAGCCTGACCCAAGGGGGGGGAATGGGTTGAAAAGAGGTGCCTCACTGAACCAGGACCAAAGGCTCGTAGCGGTGCAGCCATTTTTCTCCACCCCATGCATAGGGCAGCTCCTTGTTCCAGAGAAGATCCACCCCCCACCCCCTCAGGCTCAGAGGCATCCATAAGCCTGAACCTGGGCCCTTTCCAGGCCACCTGGCTGTTAGCAGAGGATGCAAGTGGCTGTGTTCCACCTGCAGACAAGCAGTGTCTGTGGCAGGAGCAGAGGCCTGGCGCGAGACGCCTCAGGTGACTGGAGATGAATGCAGCCACAGTGAACCGGCTCAGAGACG